TATTGCCACTGCTGCTATTACACTTGTACAAGCAAAAAAATTTTTCTTATGTGGAGAAATTATGTTTTTTTTGCGATATAGGTTCAAGTTTTTTACGTGTTTTTCCAAAAATGCAGCAAAATTTTTGTGACTCTGATATAGGAATTGCAACAAAAGAGTTCAGATGGATACCCCCGGACCCCCCTACAAATGCGAGGTCTTATGTATGCGTCAGTCAGCTCAGGAGCTGGATCCGCCCCTGACTGGATAGTGCTTTTGCTGTTGCCACACAGACTGTTGTCGTTGTCAGTTATCACACATGCAATTATTACAGGTAAACTACGTGAAGCGTTCCTCTTTTGACTTCGTAACTCATTTGGAATTTTCCTCATTAGCTTTGGCGCTTTGCAAATTTGAAAAACTCTTTGCAAATCCATTGAGGAAATTTGCAACGTTCCTATCGGCTGTTGCAATATTCCAAACTTCATTTTAAATTTTCCTAACTTCCTGTTTTAATTTCCTAACTTCCTGTTCTGTTCTGATCGTTGTTATTGGTCGATTATTTTTGTTAGCCAATTGCAACGCCCAGAACAGAACAGGAAGTTAGGAACTTGTAACAGGAAGTTAAGAACTTCTAACAGGAACTGAGGAAAATTTTATTTGCTTTTAGCAACATGCAAATTTCCTCAAGGGATTTGCAAGGGAGTTTTTTAAATTGCAAAAGTAATGAGGAAAATTGCAATTAATTTAGAAACTCAAAAGAGGAACGCTTCACGCAGTTTACCTGTAACACTGTCATGATATCTTTTTTGGTACCCTTTGTCTTTGGGAATTGAGACACTTGTCTCATGATATCTAGTTTTCTAGATTTCTAGTATATCCACTATAAAAGTGTAAAATCTGGTTCTATGCTATCCTGTTGATCCCTGGTAGTTTAACTTAATGCATTAAATGTTGCTGTTGAAATACATGCCCTGAGTAGATAAATTTATTTGAATAATTTCACTAATTTGTTTACTTTTTGCAACTTTAAGGTATTCCAAATACATGAAAAATGGTGCAGGGATGGAGAGGGGAAAAATCAACTGAGTATCAATACATTTGCATCATTATCATCTGGACAATTGCATCCAGTTTAGCCTTACAGTTTGCAACATCCACATCAAAAAGCCATAAATGCCTCCTTAAAATTAATTAAGAACCTGATCATTGGATGCTGTCTTCCCATATCTTTAGTAGAGAGCAAACATTTCGGAGAATTTATGAAAGTTGTTGACCCACGGTATATTACTGTATATTTTGAACAAATTTTATTAAAAGTTTAAAACTTTAACAACTGCCAAATATAGTAATATAGTATTATAGTAATATACCAAAACCAAACTACATGACACATTATGATTAGAAATGGTTACATGGTGTGTTTCGATTTTTATAAGGCCCGCCTTTTTTATCTGCTTGTGAGTAGGAGCTTTAGGACACTAACTCATTAAGCTACTATAAAGCTAAAAACGAGTATATTATGAGATTGTAATTTGTAAGTTTGTTAAGTGTTAGTGTGTTACACACAATGTCTTGAGTAATATGACTGTATGTGTTAGACTGTTAGTCCTATATAATGTAGCAGCATTACTACAATCAATATTTGAATTATGATTCTCTTTTATATTTAGGTACATACCTATGGCCCGTTCTACAGTAACCAATTGAATAAATGTGTTGTGAGTGTTAAAAAAAGATTAGAGATATGTTAAAGGATAAGGATTCAGTTTCACTCACGACAGACATATGGTCAGACAGAGTGATGAGATCTTTTCTTGGTGTCACTGCACACACAAATATATTAGATATCACGACCGGTGCTGAAGAATTACGATCATTCCTATTGAGTTGTAAGCGTTTTAGTGGTTCACACACTGGAACAAGTATTGCCGCAGCCTTCGATGACATTTTAGAAATCTATGTCATAAACAGCAAGGTGGAACACATTTTGACAGATAATGCTTCAAATATGAAAAGTGCCTTTAAAGTTAATTTTCCTACTGAGGATGATGATGATGATGTAGATGATGACGGTGATGATGCTGCTTCTGTAATACAATCACACGTTTTAGACGATGAATCAATCTGAGAGACCCTGGATAGTGAAGAAGAAGATGATATCAGAGATGTTCTTGACAATAACTGCAAGAAAAGACTGTCCTGCTTTGCCCATAGTTTACAGCTAGTTATTGGTTATATGATAAAGTAAGTGCAACAGAACATCAGAACCATAGATCAGAACTACAAGTGCATTAACAATTTTACATTGATTAAAAAATAGTTTTTATTTATTAACTTATTATAAGTTAGCCTATATAGATTCAAATCTGAATTCTGGTTGGTCTCAACACAGGTTTGAAGCCAAGTTTGGTGCAAATCGTACTATTCCAGCAGCTAATACAACACGCTGGAACTCAACCTACAATCAACTGAAAACACTCCTTAAGTTATAGACCACCAAGCTGTGACAGAGATTTGTAGTGAAGAATTCAGAAATGTTCTGTTTAGTACAAGAGAGTGGAGTCAGCTTAGTGAGCTAGCAGAAATTCTTTCCCCATTCTCGGAAGCAACTGATTTGACACAAGGTACAGACAATAAAACATCCTCAAGACGTTTGAATCAATATGAATCTCCGGTTTCCCCTTTATTCAGTGGGGGACACTAGAGCCTAGAAAGACAAGCTCTCATCCTCTCTCTAATTATTTCTGGTGGCTTTTAAATCGTAGCTGAATAACTGCGTATAAAAAGTTTGGCAATAATATTAATAGTTTGCAAAGTGCTGGGCTGTTCGTCACTGCCTATTTAATAGTATTTATTTATTGTATTTTTTATTATAAGGGCGATCAAATTGCAACTATAAGTCTTGTGGTACCAACTGTTTTCACATCTTTGCAAAATGAAGGAGAGTACAAGATACTGCAGAGCAGTTGTAGTGGCCTTAGCTACTTCGCTACGGAGTCGTTTTAATGGCATATTTGTATCTTGCAATATGATAAGAGTTCCAGAAGTTATTAATAATCCATTTTCGGCTAAAATTTATCTTTTAGCTCAGTTTTAGACCCTCAGTTTGCGATGCATTTTGTTGACTTGGATGTTTTGGTTGAAGGAGCGGATGCTGCTGCCCTACAAAGGTTAGAGAAAATCTCAAGGAACGTTTGGAAGGTATAGGTACTAGGTATTGTAAGCAATATTTTTTAATGTAACTGTAGAACAATGCAAATATTAATTACAAAATTAATGTTCGGTTTTGTTACAGACCTAGTCATTGCTGAAATAGAATCACGGATCGCAACGGCATCAGAGCATTGAGACGAAATGTCGACTGCGCCGTCCAGTGGCAGTAGGGAAACATCTCAATGCACGGATAAAGAATTAGGTGATGGGAATGTTGGACAAAATAGCCGGGCAAAGCGCAAATTTCCAGTCGACTATTTTCCCGTTATGACAGTCATACGCAAAAGAAGAAAACTGGTGCAGATAATACTGCTTTAACCGCCAAGAATCAATTTGCAAAGTATTTGGAGGAAATTGATGGGTACGATCCAACAGAAGGACGTTGTGACGTGTTTCATTTCTGGCCCGACAACAAAAAGAAATTTCCGCACCTTTCTAATCTGGCAATAAGGGTCCTTTCCATTCCAGCTTCAAGTCCGCCAATAGAAAGAGTATTTTCTCGTGGTGGCATTATTATGCGCCCTCACAGAGCAAGACTTGGTGCAGAGACACTTTCAAAACTTATTTTCCTCAAATGCAACGAAACACTGTCAGACTAATGTCTAATAACTAACCTTGGCTTCAGACAGCTTCAGTAATTGAAATAAATGTTATATATAAAACAGTTTACATTGTTAATTTTAATTAGGAATAATTGTTACTTGTTATTCGAGTTACATCAATTATACATTTTCTAATTTATATCTGCAGTGCATTCATTTTTAATTCTTATATACCGGTATTTTTGGAGAAAATTTAATACTTTGTCCTTTTATTTCGGACTTAGACTCGGACTTGGACTCGAGATATTTAAGACTCCGACTCGGAAATGCTGGACTTGAAATTTAGCTACGGACTTGGACTTGAATGTACGGGACTTGGACTTGGACTCGTAGTTTGTGGACTCGACTACAACACTACAAAAGAAGCAAGACAAATGGCAAAATTCACATGTTGCCCGTTTGCAAAAACAACTGCAAACTTCTCTAACTCTTTCTGCCACTTTCATTTGATTTCATCCGTGAGTCGGCCTCAACGTCTTTTGATTCTACGCGGAAGTTGTTCAAACTGCTACGCCTACGTTATTTACATCATTTTCACGGCTCATTACCACGTCAACAGAGTAAAACGTTCAAGTCGTTTGGGTTGTTTTATGTGAATTCACTTATACTATTGCTACTTCAGGGAATTTCAGAGTTGTTTAAACGAAAGATGACTCCTTTTTAAAAGTTTAGCAATTTTGTACAAATACAAAAGTATAAGTAATTTTGTTCACTAATCGCTATTTGCCGGGGAAGGGGTACTTTTGGAATTTTTTAAACATCTCAAATTTGCAATAGCCGTTTCCCCGTATTATGTATTCCCTTATTTCTTTATTATTCAACAACACATCCGAAAAGCATGCTGGTCGGTTGTATTCAGAATACACAATAAGGGGAACCGGCTATTGCCGCTGATTTCGAGAGGGGGCAACGCTACTTTCGGGATTCTAGAGTGATATAGTCATACGTACTTGCTGTGTATATATATGTATATATATATATATATATATATATATATATATATATATATATATATATATATATATATATATATATATATATATATATATATATATA